CGTCAGCCACAGAGATGCCTTGCGTAATTATACGCACAAGTGGTACCCAAGGGGCAGTGAGCAATGAAACATGGACTGCTGAAACGAAAAACACTAAGCTTTGGCCAGATTCTGCCTGGCTCTTCCTGGTGCAGAATGTACTGGCTAAGTCTGGCGATCTAAGCGCCGAAGGACTGTTTCCGAGCGCCAGTGTGCCCCATCTTTCCCCTTCTGAGTTTCATCTGGGAAGCTGCAGGCGCCGTGCCGTGATGCTGTGACAGAGTATCAACTTGCAGCTGAATTTTGGACCATGCATGCTGCTGACATGCAACATGCTCCCAGCCAGTGCGGGTCTCCTTCAGTGGGCTGTTGGTCCAAGATACCTGGGCATTGTAGAGATGGCACTTGCTTCCACTCTTGTTCAAATCATAGGACTCTTTCCTGAAAAGAATGAGGACTTGTCTGAAGTCCTTCAAACTGACAGAGGGCTTGGCAGCACGTCGCAGGAAATATCTCCTAAAAGCATCCGGCAGAAGACGACGATGCTGAGCTGATGGGCAAGGACTGGGCCACAGGGGTTGGAGGCCTCTTGCTGGCCAAGTTGCTCGCAAGCTCGTCAAGGTGGCTTCGCCAAACGCAACTTCAGTAGGTGCAACAGCCGGGATCCTGCACCAGTGAGTTCGACGGTGCTCCAGCTGGAAGGCTGCATGACTCAGCCCATGCAGCACAAGCAATCTGGAGTGACTCAGAGGCATAGAACAAAACTTCTGGTTGTGACGAAAAAAAAAACAGGCCAGCGGATGCAGAGCAGGTCCGGGCTACCCACGCCGCCCCGCTGACGGCGCTGAGAGGCGAGCTGGTTGCAGGCCTTCCAGTGAGGAGACTGCTGGTTTGCTGCACAGAGTCAGAGCTCCTGAAGTTTCAGAGTTGGAAATTCTCCTGGTGTGCTTCGACAATGCTTCCGGGTGGCGTGCTTGCTGTGACCAGGGGCTTGGGGCGTTCGACTTCAGAGGATGACGTAGTGTCTCCCCATTCTCTCCATTCTCTGCTTTCCGAGGCTGCATCCCAATCATGAAACGGGGAGAAACGATACTGTTGGGCGCGTGCAGAAAATGATCATAAGATTGCTTCACGCAGAACACAAGCATTTCTGCGAGCAACGACATGGCTCGGTACAGCAGCCATCACAGTGGCCACTGCTTCAGATTCTCTCCAAGTGAGATATCACATGAGATATTCGCTGCAAACCCCAGGTAGAAGATAAACAAGCATGGAGCAGAAGCCTCATCGGCCACTCTGAGGCAGGAGCAGGGCGCTGACTTCTTGGACCGCAAAGCTGTACATCCCCCAGGCAAGACCTGGCAGAAGTTTCTACTCAAATTTGCACCCTAAAGTACCAAGGGCAATCCGGTTTTTGCCTCTTTGCGGTTCGCAGTGGATCCCCCACATACCATACTCACCAGTACATAAGAACACTCACCACGGCCTTAAATCCCCCCTCATACCAGCCCTTCTATGTTGGCACAGCAGAAAACATGCTGACGTTTCGCAAACAGTAGCAGAGGCATTGAATGCGCTCGCTATGCATCAAAGCAAAATGCAGCTGCCCTCGAAGGAGTCCTGCGCTCCTTGAAATTTATCTCTCGGCAAATTCCAGGAATGCTTGCAATAAAACATAATTGTCTTAGCGGGCTGCACTGCAAAGCTCAAATGATAACACGGGGTGTTAGTATCTTGTTAACGCTTTACCTGCATGTTCCAGGATTGCTGCCAGGTGCCAGCTGCCTGCAACTTCGCAGGCAGTCACTGTACGATCCAGGAGTCCTCCAGAGTGGATGCAACGACGCAATTTACAACAGGCATTTGGCTGAGAGTTAGAGGACTGAGTTGTCGCAGTAACGACCTGGCAGTGTTTTGGTGTTTTGATGAAGAAACCCTCTGATCCTTGGCAAACGTGGTCGATCTGCTGCTCAGCCTCTGGGTCAGGTTGCCCGCCCGCCTCGCTTTGCTCACATCGCTAAACACAGCTGCAATGCAAGAATCACAGCGCGAGAGCCCGCGAGCATTATCGTCACACCATCTAAACTGAAAAGTGGAAACGCGCTGCAGCAAGTAATTACAAGCCAAACTCGCCTCAGAACCATCTGAGGCCTGGAGCAACCCTAAACTCACAGTCTTTGTGCACTCTGCCCTTTCTGAGTGCTGTGCAAAAGTCGTCCTGTAGAGCTCCACGTTCCACGCAATAAACTGGGAATCCTGGCTCATGTCCGTTGCTTGCCGGATTGCGCCACATGGGTGAAATCCAGGCAACCCTTGTCCACAAATGTTCACAGTATTTGTCAAGAAGCGTCCTGAACTTGACAGCCAGATCTGTCCAAACTTAAGCGAAAAGAGGGAGGGTCTACAAGGCTCCCAGGACAACAAGGGAGGAGGGCTGGGAGGGCTGTATACTCTCGCTACATGTATGCAAGCAGACCTCCTGCGATCCGGCGGTCCAGCTCAAGGTCAGCCTTTGCACGCATTTGGCTTCGCTGCATAGCTTTTGAGGTTTTAGCTTCTGACATTAGAGGTTGCCGATGAGCAGACCTCCTGCTTCTCTCGTGGTGGTTGTTTGCCGCCCGCTGCTTCTAGGGCAACTACCTCCCAAACTGTATGCAACTTGCTCACCCCTCACACATCTATCTCTTCACACCCGCTGTCTACTGGCGTTGCTACCACCTCCCTTCTCCTTGCTTGCGTCCGTCTGAATATCATGAGATGTCTCACGATAGCTATTATATTGCGACTGCTATTCTGATGACTGCCACTGCAGCTACGTAATTACGCACATCTTGAGGAAACCACCGCAGCTGCTACTGCTGCTTCGACGCTCACAGCATCAGCTCCTCCTCCTTCCGCTACTACTGCGCTCCCACTACAACCACAATCTAATCAGGAGGATGCTGACGATGATAGCCACTACTTACTATTACTTACTAATGCAGACCTCCGATTAATAAACCCCCATGTAAGTGCAAAATCCGAGTCCCAGAACGCAATTATAACACCCCCTCTCCCCCCCCCCCCGCAATTGTAACATCCAATCTGCCAAAATGCCAAAATTTGGAAGCGCCAAAAGAGCAATGTGTACGGCTAGTTCTGTTCTTGGCTATGACGACTGGAGCTGCAGCTCATGGACCTGGCTGCCCTTAATTACGGAGGCTCGGGCCCACATCCTCGGGGGATGGGGAGAAGAGGGGGGTTTCTTGTTATGAGGTGAACATTAATACTGCCTGCTGCTCACTTCTTGCGTTTGCTTTTGACGAGTTTTCTCTTCAGAATGCGACAAACAGGCTCGGGAGCAATGGAATGGGAACATATGATGGTGAGGGCTAGGGACTTTCATCATTGCGCTCGTGACTGAGCTTGCTGCTGTCCGTCGGCTGGAGAAATTGCGGCCTTGGCGGCCCAAGGTAGAGCAGACTTTTGGGAGTTTTAGGTGGTGGTGTGCTAGGCTGAATTGTTCCGCAATGTGGTGCAAGAGAGCCCTACTTTGCTTCTCTCTGGGCTCAGCATCCCACCAAATTTGATGGAAGAGTTGCAGCTCGCAGGCAGTTCGGCCCAATGGTTACCTTAGAAGGATCAGTGTTGATGTTTGCTGGGAATCTTCTGGAGAACGGCTGATCTTTTGTGCGTCCCGGCACCAACGTACTTCCCGCGATGGGCCGGCTCCATTCGGACGTTGACCTGCTCTGTACCAGCATGACAACTTGGGCACTACGTGACGCCAAGGGCACACTCACTACGGGTATTTTTCACAAAAGCACAAAGCGCCGGGCTCATCGTTCCAACAGAGCTGCCGGACCTGCAGACTTGTCAGCTGCAACCGTTTGCCACCTTCGATCTTGTAGTACTAGGACCTCCAGCCCTTTGGAATGTGCTGGCAACTTCAGCAGGCCTGGATGATGTGCGCCGTTTGGCAGGGCAAGTTCATGATCGTGCCTGTCAGACGAATCCTTCTTTGGTTTTGCGAATTACAGGCACTGCTTGATCCGAAGACTGCCAGCAAGCGTTGACGGAAATGCCACAAGACTTTCAGCTACTCATAGGTTGAACGTCACGTAGGGGCTAGAAGGGTCCCTTGGTGCGAGGCAAGCTGCAGGAGGGCTCGTCGAAGGAACTCAGGGAAGTGCACGCTGGAGGATCCTCTCCGAGAAGGTAGGATCATGCTGCTGAGAGCAGTAGTCGTGTGCTGCGAGCACTGTGCTCACGAAGTAGAATCAGAGACGTGATGCTAGACCCAGAAATGATTGTGAGCTTTAACATATTTACGGAATTGCAGTGCTCTCACACCCTCGCAACATCCACAAGCCACCCGTCGCAAAGAAAGGATGCATAGCAGCTGCAAGAGTCGAATCACCCTACGTCAAAAAGAAACTAGGGACTATCTGCAAGACACACGCAAGGTCCTTTGTCCACGCACCACTCGGATCGCGCATCTCAACTTGCCAGGCTCGAAAACTGCAGTTGCCCTGACACATCTAGAAACACTCTGACAACGACAGCTAGCAAACGCAAAAATGGTGATTTGGGTGTAGTTCAGGTGGCTGGGGTAGCAATCTCAAGAGCACTGGCCGCGACATCGTTTGAGCAACAAGCATGGCAAACAAAGGAAAATCATACTTACAGCATGATGGCAGGTGTGCCGTCTCACACACTCCGGACTCGTGAGACTTAATGTTCACAGGAAAACGGACGTGAAGGCCATGCGGAAAGCGTGATAAGCCACTGCCAATTGTACATATCTCCAACGTGGGAAAGGCATCCAGCATGAGGGGTTGAATTCGGAAGCGTTCTTTGCCTGCTGGCTTGATGCATTCCAGGAGATGAAGAGGGAGCTGGACGTGGGTTCCAGGACACTCAAGTCCTTGCGCCAAAGGGAGTCTCATCTGAACTCCTCTAGTTCGTCTCTATAGTTGCTCTCGCATCCGCTCTTGCGCTTTCGTTGTGCTGCCTGCTCTGGTGTCTGTGTTGGCCCTGCACTACCTGCAGGCTCGGTCCTCCGGCATACCTGCTCGCACATAAGGCACACGGACCACGCTCAGGAAGATGTCATATATCATCAATTCTGGCACTGTTGATGCCAGCTGAACTCCTAAGAAAAAGCAAGCTATCTGATTCTGAAGACTCACTGATCTCTCAAGACATGGCTTGCAGATACGACCTTGCCCTGGCACGCCAAGTCACGAACATCGTATGTTGCTCCCGGCTCGAGACCTCTGTGGCAAGCAGTGCAAGCACCACCTACTCTGCAGGAATGGAGAGGAGGAAGAAAAAAAATGCTCCAGAAGTTGACCGTGCACCCACTCTCATGCCATACTTCACTCCAAGGATAGCCTGCTGAGGAGAGTAGGACACACCTGCTGATCCTGAAGGAGGATCTGCAGCCAACTGATGAGGATTGAACAGCTCTTCACCCACCGAATGCAAAATTAAGATCTTGAAAAAGCCCACCTGTGGCTTTAAGATGAAACCTTGCCTCGGAAGACACGACACCTGTACCTATCAATGATTCAAGGGGGGGTTGGGGTCTACATTTACTCACAACTCAACATGCCTTGGCCGAGGGGCACCACACTTCGCAGGAGGTGAACGCAAAGTCTGAGCAGTGGCTGATGAAGAACCAATCATTTCCTGCAGTCCAGTTTTGGGGGTCTCAGTGTCCCCATCAAGCCCACGTTATATGGGTGAGATTCAAAGATGGGTCCTGAGGACATCGGGAAAGCTTTGACCTCAGCATGCCTCAAGCCGGTCCTTCTCCCTGCTTGCGCATGTCAACCCTCCACTCCCAGCCATTGCCATCGTTGAGGAGGTCCACAGACAGGTCCCCACCTCAACACTGGCTTTCTCGCTTTGCAATTTGGCGCCGGTGCAGCTCGCTGTGAATAAATGGAATGAGGGTGAGGGTGTGATATTTAGACGAAGCTTCTTACCACATCTACCGGCCTCAGAGTACAGCTAGCAGCCGCTGCTATTACCCCTAGCTCGTAATTCAACGAGCGGCCATCCCACTCAAGCACGACACCGCCGCCAGATGGATTCCAAGGTCCACCTCAAGGGATATCGGAGAATGTGGAACCTGCTGCACTACGGGTGGGCCATCTGGGATTGAAGCGGGAAACCGAGGTTTGAAAAGAGGTTACCAACCCAATGCCACATGCCAACATGTTGACGAAGGTGACAGTGACCGTTGTCGTTGTTGTTGACGTCGTGTGTGAAGTCCTGGTACGTGAAGTAGAGGTCCTTATACTGGCAGCTTCCATACGGAGTTGCATGGATTGAGCTCCCCACGACGCTACTCATGACTCATCATGCTACAAGTGCAGCGACGGGTCGTAGCTGACGTGGAGGTGGTCGACACCGTAATTGTGGTAGTTGAGCTCGTTGTGCTTGATGAGGTGACGGTGGCAGTCCTGGTAGTGGCGGTTTGCGTTTGACTTGTCGTGGATGTTCTCGTCATTGATCGAGTTGATGTTGAGGTCATGCTGACAGTGGCCTCGTGCGCAGCACAGCCACCCACTGACACTTGCGAGCAGCTCTTTCGCCGCATGAGTGAAATCCATCTTTCAGTAAACTCCAGCTGAAGAACTAACGTAACTTCCATCCTGACTCTGAGGGCTGGGCTGTGGAAGACGTCGAGGTGGTGCTGGAGCCTCGTTCTCTCTAAAGAAGAAGTTCTGAATATTTCCATATGCTATAAGGACCCACTTCAAAAAGGCCGGGAGGCTTGTCCTCGTGCTGGAAGTTCCTGTCCTAGGCAGAGTGGGATGTACTGGCAGATTCTCAGCCCAAACCTCACATCGAAGCGGAGACTGGGAACCTAGCGCTGCCCTTCCTGACAAATCAATTCATCTGCTTTCCGCGCTGCGCTTAGCTTCAAACTTGCGGAACTCACATGAACTCACTGCCCTTCAAGACTTTGTTGGTCTGGCAACAGCAATATAACACGGACTTTTGCATTTCACGCCAGCACAACCTCTGCTCCGCGCCAAGCTTCAACGTGTGGGTCAGCGTTGTTTTGGTGGAAGAGGTCATGGACCTGGCTAGTTGCCCTTTCCCCGTTCAGAGGAATACTAATCATTAACCCAATTCACTTATAACGGCTTTGAGCTTTCACCAAGATAGGGCACGGCGTACGTATCACTAGTTACATGCTAATTCTCTTCTCGTCTCCATGTGCAGAGTGATTTGCCTGGAGGTTGTGGTGGAACTTGTCGATGTGGTTGTTGAAATCGATGAGCTGGTAGAAGATAGGGACGTTGAAGTGGCTGTTCCACTTGTGCTGCTGATGCTGGTGCTGCTTGTTGTGCTCGTTGCGCTGCTTGAGGTTGAGGTGGTCGATGTTGTGGACGTCCAGGTCTGGGTGGCTGTGGTGCTGGTGGTGGATGTCTCTGTGTTAGATGTGGTTGATATTGTCGAGCTGCTCGATGTCAATGAAGTGGACGACTCAGTTGCACAGCAGATTTTAACTAACAAACTCCAGCCAGCGCTAGCACTCCCAGTCTCATCTCAACTCCAATTATTGGCTATGATACTGTGCTGGTGGATGTCGAGCTAGTTGTGACTGTCGAGGTGGCAGAAGTCGTGCTGGCAGTGCTTGTGGTGCTCGTTGTTGTTGCTGTCCTTGGCTTGGTGAGAACGCGACTTCGATTATCTTTTGACATGCGTGCTCGAACCTGCAGTGCAAAGGCAGCATGCACTTTCAACAGCAAGCGTCAATGATGTTGTGGATGATGACGAGGAAGAGCTCGAGCTTGTGGTGCTTGTAGACGAGGTCGAAGTGGATGATGTGACAGTGGAAGAGGTTGATGAGGAGGTGCGCGTGGCGGATGTGCTGGTTGTCGAGATCGATGATGAAGAGGAGCTGCTTGAAGTTGTGGTGCTGCTGCTGGATGTAGTCGAAGATGTCCGAGTGACCGTGGTCTGCGAGGAAAAGGCTTTTTGCATGCTTCCGGCTTCATGATTCATACACAAGGCACACACAGCGAAGAGAAGTGCTGCTGCTGTGTCACTAAGATGCCCAAGGCGGGTAAGGTGGAGCCGGACGTGCCCTTCAGCAAAGTCCACAGATTCAGCTGAGGAGCAGTGCTTGTAGTTGCTGTTGTGCTAGTGCTTGCTGTGGTCGAGGAGGTCGAGGATGCCGTCTGGGCAATGCGCCACTCGCTACGTGATCTTAAAATCGACTCTACTGTCTGAAGGACGGCTTTGTTTACAGTCTCATGCATGACTACTTGAACAATTGCCGGCACAGCTGCCACAGATGTGGCAGTGCTCGAAGTGGAAGTCGCCGTGGTTTCGGACTGGGTGGATGTATAACTTGTGGTTGTGACCTGGCTCTTCGAAGCACGAGGATATCACCAAGGCCTGCAAATGCTGGTGCAGCTAGGCTACAGTTGCAGTGGACTCTGTGGAGGTGACTGTGGAGGTGGATGTAGCGGTCTTACCTTTCACAGAGCAGGCTGTGCCTATGGCCACCTTTTCGCACTGGCAACCGAGAACTGCAGACCAAGCTCTGGTGGAGCTTCTGGTGCTGCTCTCCGTGGTGCTAGACGTGCTTGTGGTAGAGGTGGTCGTGCCTTCACATTGCTGTGAAATCTGGAGACGATGAAGAAATGCCCTACTGCGCACCTGGGGCCAAAGAGTCTTGGGGTCTGTGCCGGCCGAGGCACCAGAAAAGGAAGATGTCGTGGTCGAGGTTCCAGTAGCCTGAGTCCGCACACCAAAATCCCGTGATAAAATCTGGACTAACCTCACACACTGCAGGGACCAAAGCCAACAAAGCCACTGTTTGAAGCATTCTGAGGAATGCAGGAAAGCGAAGCAAAGCAAAACCATAAGTACACGACTGATGATTGTGCCTGATAGCGCGGTGTACGCACTTAGAGCCCTTCCAACCCTCCCACCCATTGCTGCCCTTTGCCGTCTGCAAGCTGTGGCAGAGCTCGATGTGCTGGATGTCCTCGGTGATGAAGTGCGGGTGCTCACTGCAAGCGTTTGGGGCTGTAAAGGACCATGACAACTGGCAGGTACTGTATCCCCTGCAGCAACTGAGCATGGTGTTCAAGATCTTGTGTCCCGTCCGTCTCTCATGACTGGAGTCCCTAAAGAAATCCCCTGCAAGCTTCAGATATGCCTCAGCAAAAGCAGAGGCCCATAGGCTCTGCAATTCAATGCAACTCAACATCAGCTTGGCCAGCAAAGGCTCGTCGATGTCGTGGAGGTGCTAGTTTCGGAAAGTGTTGTCGTGGAAGAGATGCTTGAGGTCCTGCTTGGGGCTCTGAATCAGAGACTGCGCGCGGAGAAGCTAAAATCAATATCGCAAGGCAAGGTGGCATCATTGCAACTAAAAGTATCCAAACCCATGCCTGAAGAGCCTCCCAGCATCTCAAAGTCAAGAACTAAGCACAAAACAGTAACCGCAAAGAGTTCACGCAGCTGCCTGGAAGTTGAAGAAATTGAAAGGCTGGTTGTCGTGATGGTCGTTGTAGAGCTGCGCGTCAGTGTCCTCAGGTTGGCTGCAAACTTTCCTTGACATCACAATGGGCAGGTCTTTGGAAGTTTTAATAAAGCCGAAGCTGGGCGAGTTTGTGGCCTTTTCCAGTCGCCGGCCTTGTCAAGGGTCCAGTGCTTCCCGCAAAAAGCGCTGGTTGAAGGAGACTGCGATTCAAAAATGTTGGAGGCGGACTGCGCAAGCAAGCGCATTGCTCAAGCATGTGAAGCATGTGTTAACAATACTTCAATCCATCTGCATGAACATTGGCAGCCTGTAGTGTACTGACATCACGAAACAACACCCAGCCTGCAAACATCAACTGGCACAAACTTGCGAATCAGCACCGACCCTGTCCTCGAGGTTGAGGAGGATGTAAATGTGCTGACGGTACTGCTGGTGCTCGTCGCAGAAGACTTGGGTTCACGCAGATGCATATCTGCTTGAAGCTGTGAAACTAATGCTGGAAGGACTCGCAACATACTCCACCCTGCGCCTCCCTGCGCGACATGCATGAAACCTCCACATAACAAAGAAGGAAACTTGCGGCACCATGGAAGAGGCTGCGTACATATTCAAATGCCTGCGCAGCCGGTCACGAGGCTTTTGTCCCAGGGTGGCTCTAGAAGAATTGAGGTGTAATGAGCATTTCGGTGTGCAGCCTGTTGAGAGCGTGCACGAGTTCAAGCCTTGTGAAGAGTGGCCGGATAAGGAAGTTTAAGAAAAAAGGTTGAATCAGAGAAACAAGGGGGACAGATTGGTGACACAAGGATCTTCTACTTTGCCATCAACACCTGCAAGCCGGGGGACCGTCACGGTAAGCGTGGTCACGGTCACGGTGGTAGTAAGGAGCTCACAACTACCTGGATCGGGATGGGGGTCGCAGGGTTAGTTAGTGCCCTTGCGGCTCAAGAGATTCAGCTTAAGCATGCATTTAGTGCGGGCATGTCATGCCGATCCCAAACAACCTGATAGCGGTTTTGGACAAGTTTCCAGTGTCGTTTGCGATGACACAGACGGTTCCAGTTTGACACTCCACTCCTGGCGCAAGTATCACTAGCCTCTGTTTTTGCACCGACATGTTCTAGAACTAGTCATCTGACTGGTCGGTTATCATCTGAATTTCCTCATTAAGTAGCATTATTGGATTGGAAGCAGCCGCATATCTTCATACTGAACCGCCAATTGCGAGCACCTCTTGAGTTTACGTCCTCCGCAGCTGCACGGATACGCACCCGTGCCCACTTCATATTGCCTCCCCTCGGTGAAGGCGCCTTAGATGATGTTGGACTACGAGATGGGTGCCGCCGGTTGCTCTTGGAACCCGCAACAAGCACCCAAACTTTAGCCGTGGACGGCTAGCTAAGCTGCACATTGAGATGACTGGCACCGGTTTTGAACTCGAGCAATGTAGCACTCCGCCCTCAAAACACCGTCCAGGAAACCAAAAGCCGTGAACCCTCTGTAAATCTTCTATAAGCCCTCAACAACCCCCCTACGTCTATAACCACCGTATGACACTATGTTAAGCATCTCCTTAAACCCTTTGGAAGCCCCTGAGACAACCTCTTGAAACTTTGATAAACCTGCTAAAAACCCATGAACTCCCTGTACACCTTCTATGAGGCATGAAAAACCCTCAAGAAGCACTAAAGGCCCTATATCATGCAAATAACAAAGCCCAGACCACAGGACCCCCGGGAGGCAATTAAGATGTTGTTCATACTCTATATCAGTGACTGGGAGAGGGGAG